TATGCACACATTCATTTAAATAGATGATAGATAGATAGATGGATAGATGGTGAAATAAAGAAATAGATAAATAAAGTATAAGATACAGAGAGATTTTATATGTAAATAAGATAGAGACTTTTTTTGGCAGTATTCCAAGCAAGCACTTTTGACCTCATCGATATCTTAAGTACCATCTAGTATAAAGGGATATTCTTTCCTCTGTAATAATGGTACAGTGGGGTCTTTTTCTGATATACAAACACAATATGCTGAGCTAAAGGATATGAAAGATGCAAAAATACTCAAATGATCTTGTTAATGCCTATTCTTGTCCTTTACATTCTACTACCCTGTGATTCTTTATCCTAACTCCTGAAAGCAGAATGAAATTAGATTATTATTTTTTTATTTATCTCACTGTAAATTAGTAGTTTAGTTTAGGTAATACCCTTTCCAAAGAGACCATACTGAATAGCAAAGCAATAATCAAGGCAGCAAAGATTTCTATGTGAAAAGAGATCAGAGTTTTAGGAAATCATTAAAAAGGTGAGAATGTCACTTGCAGATGATGGTAGCAAAATAATGAGTCATCTAAAATACAAAGCTTCCAGATGCTTGCTATTCTTCTTGAAACATAAACTTCATTCTCTATTCTGTTCAGAAACCCTGGGCTGCAGAAATGCCTAATTCCTGTTTCCTGAAGAATTCTGATATGAGACTTTATCTTTACCCTCTTAGTAGTCCTTGCAGGGTCCAGAGTGAGGTGTTTCTTGAGATTTGAATAAGAAATTACTTTTTATTCCTAGAAGAGAGAACCTAAAGCATTTCTTTCTCTTTGTATGAGCAAAAGACTGTATGGGTTCTAGTTGTGTAATCATTGATGCTACTATTTTTTTAATGTCAAAATTGATGGAAATACATATCTCTTTATCTCCCTCATAGTGTTATTACCACACCAATAAAAGATGATTCCAAAACCTGGATCTGAGACTTAGAAGACTTCAGGATTGCAACCCTGTGACTACTTGGTTTTATTCAAAGAAAACCTTCAAAGGAAGTGATGGCTGCACACCACGTGAATAGTTGCTGTGAAATTGTTATGATGGGAACCAACATCAGGAAAGGTCAAGAGGTCAGTATCTACAGAATGAGAAATCGGCAGACATGAAGTAAAAGCCGTTAGGACAATTCCACACAGTTTCATGTTATCTTACCACTGACCAGGGACAAGGCCAGGGGGACACAGCAGGGAGTGGAGAAGCCATACTTCCAATAACAGAAATGGACCTGGTCATAAAAATGTTTGCTCCTGAGAAAGGAAGTGTCAGAAACCAATGACTTTAATAAGCGCGAGCACGGTGTTTTGAAGGAAAGCAATTGCAGTTAAAAACTTAAATGGAGTGCTCAATGTCATCTTGAAATTATTGACTCACAGCTTTAGTTCTACACATAGGAACTCTGGATGCAATTACAGGAGCACCTTCTAAAATTCATTAGCTTTTTATATTCATAGCAACTCTCACACCATAACTGTCGCACTAAATTCACTGGATATAGTATGCGTCAAAATCAAAGGAATTTTCTAGCAGCCATGTGTGCAGGAAGTCTTCTCTTCTAAGAGAATTGCAAATTCTATAAATGAAAGTAATTGACATTAAACAGTAAAGACACGAATACTGCTTATCTAGTTCTAGGGCCCACAGTAGTATGAACATCATCAGAATGCTTTCTGATTAGGTCACTCAAGTAAAAATGACTTCTACAATGCTATAATTTGTATACAGCAAGTGAAAGAATCTAAGATGACCACAAGGTTTGAACTTTTCTTTTGTTTTTCTGTTTGACCTTTCCATATATCACTGATTTTACAAGCAAGGCTTAAAGGTCTTATTAAGAAAACATCCTACACATACAAGTTAAGCATGAATTGGGATGCACAAAAAAATTACACTCGTTAGGTTCATTGGCATATCTAGTGAAATGTGAGTCTAAAAATAAGGTGTTTTTCTTTTATGGATAAAAATAAATTATTACCAACAAACTTCCAAAGTTATTTTGTTAATCAGCTATCCCTATGCTCATTGTTTTTGATCTACACTACCTTACACATCAAATATAATTATTTTTTTTTATTTTAAAATATATAATTTCACCATTAGCCAGCAGGAGGAATCAAATCATATCATGTATCGACATCATATCTTTATAATTTTTGATGCTCTCTATTACTCAGAATCTTTATGAAAATCTCTGTGTATGCAGATGGGAAATACCATTCCTCATTGACAGCAGTCTAAGCATGGAATGCCTTTAGGCACAAACTGTGGTATCTTCAAGGACCTAAGTAACATTAATATCCATAAGGAAAAAATATACTTTATGAGCTATGCTTCTATATTTCAGCACTCCTGAATTCATGCAGGGCAAAGGTGCCCATAATTAGAGTTAGTGGACATATAAATGCTTTAAAACCATGAGTCTCAAATCTCAGCTTTGAGATCATGAAAAAAAAAATGTTTAACAGAGATAACTCATTTAAAGTTAGATTATATGAATGCTGCTAGAGAGATTTTTAAAGTTACCAAAAAACCATGTTCTTCCATAAAACAGCACCCACCCAAAAATGGCCTTGTATTTTCTCTAGCAAACACTATTTTTCCTTTAACATGTCTTATTATAACCAAGTCTATGGAGATATGGAGTCTGACTTAAAAAATATGGTTGCTTTTTTTTTAGTTTATAGTACTCATGTGTATGAATATATGTATAACTTTCATTATCCATTTATTGTTGATGGACATCTGGGTTCACTATAGTTTTTTGCCATAGTGAATAGAATATCGAGAAACATGAGCATGAGATTATCTCTAGGATATAGAGTTCTATGGGTATGTTCTCAGGAGTGAAATAGCTGGGTCATAAGGTAGGTTTTTTTTTAATTAAATTTTTATTTTTATATTAACTACAGTTTATTCACTTTGTATCCCAGCTGTAGCCCCTTCCCTCTGCCCCTCCCAATCCCGCCCTCCCTCCTTCATCTCCCTCGATGCCCCTCTCCAAGTCTACAGATAGGGGTAGTCCTCCTCCCCTTTCATCTGACCCTAACTTATCAAGTCTTAACAGAACTGGCTGTACTGTCTTCCTCTGTGGCCTGGAAAGGCTGCTCCCCCACCAGGGAGAGGCGGTCAAAGAGCCAGCCACTGAGTTCATGTCAGAGACAGTCCCTTGTTCCCCTTACTAAGGAACCTACTTGTATACTGAGCTGCCATGGGCTACATCTGAGTTTTGTTTTTAACTTTTAATATTATTTAAAGAAATATCAATACACGCACAACATTCAATAACTCAATTTTTCATCTTTTTAGGTTGCTACACCTAGAAAGGTAACACAGTTCTTACATAGTTACTGATAAGACCATGAGAATAAATGTACTCTTATCTAGTCTATTGAAAAAGGACTTATTTTAAAAAGAATAAGATTTATTTTTTTAAACTGTTGTATAACTGTTCCATATTTTATGGAACATAGAATAATTATAAATGAGAAATATTTCTGCATAACTGTATTTCAAGTAAATTTAAGAATTTAATAAACATTATTAAAGGAAGGGAACTTATACAATTTGAAAATGCAGGTAATAGAATCATTGAGAAGAAATAAAATTTAAGACACATTTTGTTTTAGATATAAAATTCCTTACTCATAAAAACTGATTCTATTGAAGCCTGCTACTTCAGACATATCAATAAAGACATGAAAATTATGCTAATCAGAAAAATGAAGAAACCCTTATCAATTATTTAAATGTCACATATTATGTAGCAACCCACTTAATCAACTCCATTTTAGATTCTTCTAGCATAACTCTACAGTATTTTATAATTAATGTAAATTGAAACATTTTCGTTCAAATTTCAGCATTTGTACAAGTTAAAGGGGCAATGATGAAAAATGTTTCAAGAAATTGTGGTATTTGCTGTTGTTAGGAATTTAATACTATACTATTGCTTGATTCAATAACTTTGCATTCAGTTAAATATTCAATAGAATACATATCATCTAAGAAAGAAAAAGATAAAACCAAACAGACATACAATACATGTGTTCATAAAAGTGAAAAAAACCCACCAGAGTTTCATAGTAGAGATAAAAAACTCAAAGGCAGAGCAAAAAATAAAACTGCTTTTTAGACAGGATTAAGAGAAAACTGTAGCCCATAAAATACTTTATTGAATCAACAATATAAAGTGTTTGTCAAAACTGGACAGTTATTTTGAATCACAAACTGTTTAATGGTGCACCATATTTAAAAAATATATATCCTTAGGTAATTTGTAGCATCAAAGAGTGTATTTTCACAAACTTAATGATACAGATAAAATACTGGACATTTACTTAGTAGAATAAAACATGACATTTATAAGCTACTTGTCACTATAAGACACTGAACTGTTTTATAGTAACTTTTTCTTTATAGGTTCAAGTAAATACTAAAGTAATAAATGACAGCTATAGTGTGTTATTATTTAACTTCCATATAACCTTCCTTCCTCTCTTTCAAATTCACATCCTCTTTTTTCACCAATTAATATTGCATGCATATATGCATATGTACATATGTACATGTATGTATGTGCATATATATGTATATATCCCTAAATATGATCTGCTCTGGATAATGTTACTTTTATGTATGTTTCCAGGGTTGACCATTGGTTTGGTTTTATTGTTTAGATATAAATATATGTATATATATAATACATAATACAAGGTACTTTTATCATTTATACATGATTTAATGAGAAAAGAGTTATTTTAAAAGAACAATATGTGCAATTTTTAATTTTTATCTGAATGTGTTTTATTTTATGGAGATTGAATTTTAAATAATAATTGAGCTGGAATAATTCTCAAACAAAGCACATCTCATCATTTGTAATATATATGCAATCAATCAATTTGCTTTGGAATATACCATTTTTTTTCCTTTAAGTAGTCATATTAAATTTTTGCTTACTTTACCACAATATTTCCTAAGCTTCGAGCCTTCAGTTTTTGCATGTTGTCATCCAAAATCATAACTGTAAAGAGAAATATGAACACAAATATGAACATAATTGTGAACACAAACACTAATCCTCAAACCTCAATAATTTTCTCATATTTTCTTAATTCCATCTTTAGATGTCTAGCTCAAAATATTTGTATTCCTGTGAGACCAAGAAATCTATAAGTACACAAAACACAGTTTATAAAAGTATAAAAGGTATGTGTATTTGCCATGTAGCAAGATCATAAACTTAAGAACCTCCTTAAAATAAAGATTTATTTTGAACATCCCCATAATCTCCTTTTTATGGTCATATACATTTATACACATATAGTGAGGTAAGAATATTAACTCATGTGTATTTTTTTCATAAACTAAAAGATGAGGTTTGACTTAGAGAGGGGCCGGGAGGAGATGAGTGTGGGAGGGTGGGATTGGGAGGGAATGAGGGAGGAGGCTACAGCTGGTATATAAAGTAAATAAACTGTAATTAATATAAAAAATAAAAATTTAATTTAAAAAAGCACAGCCAAATATGCATACAAAGAAAACAGTGTAAGCGTATACATTTGTGAGATATAAACTAGTTTATTTAATGTTTCCAAATATATTGTTCCTATATTTTCTGTGATGGCTTGATATTCTATGGAAAGTGATTGATAGAAAATCTGGGGTCCACATTGCAGTATATCACACATAAAAATGAATTACAGTCATCTAGATTCTGTAGAGTCTTTATGTTGTTCTACTCACTTGGGTCGTTCCTAAGCAACTATGGGAAGACACTAACTAAAGATTAATCACTCCTTTATTTTTATTCCGGGAGGGCACTGTTGGAAAATATTGTAATGATAATTAGTAAAGTTATAAATACCTGTGTTTCACTGATTGTGAGTTCATCATGGCTGAAGACTAGTCAAAATTCATCACTGTCATCAAATCCCAGGACAACATCCCAATGACTACATGCTCCAGGACATGTAATTTTTTTCCCCCTCTGGCTTTCTATTTATAAAATAGAAGCCATGTCTTCTAATTTTAGTGGTATATAGAGTAAACTGTCTATAAAATGTCAAGTTTATGTGAGGTACTCAATGGCTATAAAATTAAATAAAATACCACCTGGATTCTTTCTGTTGTTCCTCAAAGTTTCTTTCTATTTTTTACTATAATTCTGTACATGATATATTTTCAAAGTTCTGTATAGCCATAAAACAAACCAAAAGTATGTCTGTCACAAAATCTCTGGTTCCTCAGTAGTTTAATCTGTCCTCTGGAACCTGGTGGTTTTCAGACAATAAGGAATTTCTGTATTAAAGTCCCATGACATCAAAGTTTAATTCTTTCATATAACTGGGTATAAAAATGGAACAGATACACTAAGGGGAAGTGTGTTTAACATCTCCCACGATTGACAACCCCTAGAAGTGTTTCAACACAAAGTGAGTTTTCTGATCAAAGAGTGGGGGTGACAACTGTTTGGTGAGAGATTCACCGGATATTCGCTCATTTTCCACGGCAGGAAAAATCACAGACCTCACTGAATTATAAAACAGATTTCTGCCTACAATAAAAAGCCCAAAATGACTGTCTATACATGAGTAATCACAGACAACAGCAATAGACATGCTGAAGCAGGAGAGGAAAGCTCACAGGCTTCATCACTATATAAAGAACTAAGCAAGCTGACTGTAGAGTAGGAGAAATAGTTTTCCCCCAAAGAGCACATCAATGTGTTACCCAATGGCAAATGGTAAGCCCTGATAATACATGTATAAGGGACATGTCTTAGTTAGGGTTACTACTGATGTGATGAAACACCATGACCAATCAGCAACTTGGGGAGGCAAGGATTTATTTCACTCACAGTTCCATATAACCATCCATTATCAAAAGCAGTGAGGGCAGAGCTCACGCAGGGCAAGAGCCTGGAGGCAGAGGCTGATGTGGAGGCCATGGAACAATGCTGCTGAATAGCATGCTCAGAATGGCTTGCTCAGCCTGCTTTTTTATAGAACGCAGGCGTGACACCATCAGCCCAGGGATGGCACCACCCACAATGGGCTGCCTTACCCCTTCTGTGAGCCAGTGTGTAGCATTAAGCACACTGTCCCTGAAAAAAAAGGGGGGGGTTTCTTCATAATTCTATTAGACAAAATTGTGTGACTTATGTCAATTATATAATTATTATGCCTCGTTTGCCCTTCTTGCACAGTGAATGTTTGAGACCATATTAACTGGCTCTCTAGCGTCTCTGAAATTCTTGCAGCACTAACAGATGAGGCTTCATTCCATATTTTGTCTTTGGTGCCTGTGTAACCTGCTTTGCTGCATAACGTCAAAGTCCAGCAGCCTAATAAAGTTCATAAAATTATGATAGCCATTTAGAAATAAGAAAAATGAACGGTGAAAAGTTAAAAATTGTGCAACTAAGGAGGGAAGCCCTGTAGAAATTATTTGGCTATAATGGCTACTATAATAAATATAAAATCAAATATTTTAGGACATATTGTTGTCAAACAACTCTCATAAAAAGAAATACTTGTTTAAAATTCTTCACTGTGAATTTGATTTTAGCCCACAGGTTCAAGAACTTTCTCAACATCCTTTGAAAGCATTATAGAAGAAGCTATAAATTTTTGTTAATGAAGAAAGAAACAAAATTAACCCAGCGATTTGTATGCTTTAGAAAATCTGTAGGGGTGATGTGCAGTCTCTATGCATTTTAAGTTATTCATCTCTAAATATTTAAAAACACCTTTTGAAGAACTATGATGCATCATCAAAAAATGAAAAGATACATGTAAGTATTGTGCATTTCAAACCCATATTCTTTTTTTACATTTAAATAATTTTATTTTTTATTTTTAATTATACTTTATTTACTTTGTATCTTCCCTCTAGTTAACCTCCCTCCTCCCCTCCTAATCCCTCCCTTCATCCCCCTTCTCCACACACTCCCCTCCCCAAGTTCACTGGTAGGGGAGGGTTTATTTTTCTTCCTTCTGATCCTAGTCTGTTAGGTCTCATCAAGAGTGGCTGCATGGTCTTCTTCTGTGGCCTGGTAAGGCTGCTCCCCCCTCAGGGGGAGGTAATTAAAGAGCAGGCCAATCAGTTCATGTCAGAAACAGTCCCTATTCCTATCACTATGGAACCCACTTGGACACTGAACTGCCATGGGCTACATCTGTGCAGGGGTTCTAGGTTATCTCCATGCATGGTACTTGGTTGGAGTATGAGTTTCAGGAAAGACCCCTGTGCTCAAATTTTTTGGTTCTGTTGCTCTCCTTGTGGACCTTCTGTCCTCTCCAGCTTTTACTATTATTTCCCACCTCTTTCATAAGATTCCCTGCATTCTGCCCAAAGTTTGGCCATAAGTCTCAACTTCTGCTTTGATAGTCTGGAGGGCAGAGCCTTTCAGAGGCCCTCTGTGGAAGGCTCCTAACTTGTTTCCTGTTTTCTTCTTCTTCTGATGTCCATCTTCTTTGCCTTTCAGAGTCAAACCCATATTCTTAAAATACTCTTCAAGTAATGATTTTTTGATTGTTTTATTTCTTTAAAAATTAAGCCATGGCAAGATGATAGCATTATCCGTAAGAGCAAAATCTGAGGCATTCATTTCTAATAAATGACATTCTTAAAAGCAAATGCTTTTTATGTACTAGCTACAAGAAAGTACCAAATTCATTAACAGTGCATTTTAAACTGCCAGTGTTGTGACTTACCATTGTATCCTGGGACACATTTTCCTGCCTGCCCAGGTGGAGGTGTTTTGGAGTTTCCTAATCCAATACAGGATGCTGTAATGGGGGATCCGGTCTCTGGGGAGAAAAGTAAGGCTTCTCATTTAGTGCTTCAGTATTGAGTTCTGTTCCTTTAGCACTAGTGCAGTACCCCACAATGGTTTGTCTCATAATTTCGCTTCATTGGTAATAAATTAAACTCTAGGTTCATTTTAGTATTTAAGATGCTTAGCTTTACGGTCAGTGATAAAGATAAGCAACAAGAAATCAGAGCCCTCTTAATGTTTAACAATACTTACAGATATTCTTATATGACAATAATAAATTCTAAAAAGATTACTAAAAAGGGAAAACAGCAGTACTTGGTGCATTTGTGGTTTTAAAACCGAAAGATGTATTTAGAATAATTCACATCATATACTTCTAAAGGAAAAAAAAAATAGGGTTCTGGTATTAATGATGTCTCAGAAAGTGGAAAATGTACAATACATAACTTTGAGGATTTCATATCACAGATTAAAAAATAAATGAGCACTAGAAAAGGTACTTCCGGATTCATTTAAAGTTATTATTTTTCAATATACATTTTTATTTGGTATTTTTAGCTTGTTATCTGAAATCCTCCATCTTACTCTAAATTTCTCAATGTTTTATCAGAGTTCTCAGGCTGCTGTTCATGTATCTAGCACAGCTACAAATACAGAAAGCTATGTGTATACTGTGCTATCCACCAAGTCCATAGGCTTACAATCAGCCTCCATAGATTAAGAGAGTGCTAAATTTGTTGCCCTTAAAATTTTTGCAAGAATAATCATAGCTAATACTTGTAACCATAAATTCTGAAGGCAATTGTGTGTATGTGTGTGTGTGAGAGAGAGAGACAGAGAGAGATAGAAAGAAAGAGAAAACTATGTGTAACCTAAAAATGTGAAGTCAATAGGATCGTTCATATCAATGGAGGGTCAGAATGAGAGGATAAGAGTGAAGAGAGTGGAGCATCTACACTTTATGTTGTGCAACTCAGAACACACACACAAACACACACACACACACACACACACACACACACACACAAAGGATTAACTGAAGAAAATCATTTTCAAAGCCATAAAGGAGCAGTAAAACTTAGTGACCTAAGTATTCTGAATACATGCCTTCTACTTTGAGCTTTGCCATAAAACCTATCTCATTTTTGTGGTGGGGAAGATTCACAGATTATCTTTTTCTACCAGGGCTACATTTTACAACTCATGTATTATCAATAGTGGCTCATCTGGAAACAATAACATTAATTTTGATCACTAAAAATCAGGTCCTGAGTCACAATCTAAGGCAATGATTCTCAACTTGTGGATTGTGACCCATTTTGGAGGGGAATGATCATATAACCCTTACAAAGGGGTCACCTAAGGACATCAGAAAACACAGATATTAACAGTCTGATACACAACAGTTTCAAAAATTACAGTTATGAGGTAGCAACGGAAATAATTTTTATGGATGGAGTTCACCACAACATGAGGACTGTATTAAAGGATCACAGCATTGGGAAGGTTGAAACCTACTGGTCTAAGGTTTAAGAAACTAAACATATTAAGACTAAGATATGACAAGGACCAGATGTTCTGAAACTTAAGAAAGAATTCACAGATTTTTTTTTTTTAATTTTGAGACAGAGTGTCTCTGTTTATCCTTGCTGTCCTGGACTCACTTCATAGAGCAAGATGGCCTTGGACTCACAGTTATTCACCTGTTTCTGCCTCCAGGAATGCTTGGATTACAGGTGTGTGCCACTGTGCACAGCTGCTTCTGACATGTTTTAGGCTTCAGTTTCTACTATTAAGATCAGAGCTTTGAAAAATAAATAGGCGATCATAAATTGTAGTCCAAAAATGAACCACAAAGAAAAAAAAAAAAAACATTGGAGACTTCAACATGAGAAACACTGTATGTAATTTATAGTTCCATTACAGACTTTTTATTTCTGCAATAATACTCAAAGTTCTGCCATTCAATGAATGTTTGTTGTACATAGTCTCCTCATCAAAAGAAATTCTTTTTTGGAGTAAAGGAATGTTATCGTAGAATAAAATACCAAATAGAAATGGCAGCTTGTATGAAGGTTACTAATGAGCCTATTTGGAATTTCAGTTGTTTAAAAAAAACAAAATACAGAGAGAAAATGTGGATTAAAAGAGAAGATTAAAGGGCAAGTGGAAGAGGAACATTACAAAGGACTATCCACGCCAAGATTAGAAATCTGGACATTTGTCCAGGGACGGTAGGATCCACAGAGATCAGTAGAGGCAATTGTTACTAAATTACTTTATAAAATAATATACTCATTTGCAAGCTAAAGCACTAAATTAACAATCCCAATACTCAGCAATAAACCAGGCATATGATGATAATATAGCGAAGGTGAGCAGAGGTGCAAGATGAAACCAACTTAAATTATGATCAAAGGTCATAGTAATTGCAGAGATTAAAAAGATCAAGAGGAAATCTTGGCTGAACTGATTTATTTAAGAAAATCATCAGCAATAAATGACAGTTAAGAGAATGGGCAAGGTAGCAAGAGGACAAGTCCAGTTGTGTGACTCACAGTCCCTGCTGTATCCGGAAAAGTACTATTATGCCCCTACAGGAGACACGGTATTAGGAAAACTGGATTGAGAATTTGGTAGTCCATGTGCAAAGCTGAAGTTCTTGGGATAAATCAATTCAGCAGGCTGGCTACTACTGAGTCATATTAATCATAGCATCATGGTGGGCACAGAGGGCAATTTGTAAAGAAATCATTCTCTCCACTTCTGAATCTATACAGTGAGCTATAAATAACTTGAATGGTGGTAGCAAATAGAATGCAGAAACAGTGAGCTGTACACTGGTGAAAAAAAAATCAATTTAATCTCTGTGTTCAAGAGATGGTAGAATTATGGTTTAAAATACTTAAATCAATGCAATCTAATATTTGTATCAGATGTAGAGCATACAATGGAGCTGTAAAGCTGGTCCTCTTGGCAACAGTGGTTGATTCACTAAAGAATCCCATTATTTGTCTCAATTAGACAAATAATGTTGAATTAATGAAGGCGTGAGATAAAGACCAGGAAGAAAGCATCCCCGGCTACAGAGAACAATGGGAACTCTGGTTGAAATCAAACGACTTTATGGAATTAAATTCTGTATGGCTAAATGTTGCTTTACATTCTAAATTTTCATGATTTTGAAGTATCTACAGGCCAGAGTGTTAAGGCAGCCATTTTACACATAGAAAGTTATTCAGGAAAGGAAAGGAGGTGTAAATAAGACATACTGTGTGTACTACCAGAGATCTTACATTCTGTGTTCTTGAATCTGGAGCAGCTACAGGACATAAGAGTAAAGGTGACCCTTACAGCTAGGAATAGTTACTCATAGCAAGACAAGAAAAGGGAAATAATATTTATTGCATTTTGATAATAAACTGAGGATTATTATGTTTTCTGTACACATTTCATTTCATTAAAAGCTTTCTGGGAAGTGTGACTGAAAACAGCTGATGGAAAGATCAGCTACTTGTGTGTCACTGAAGCGTCAGTGGCTGAACAGGTTTAAACACAGGTTTAAACACTGTGCTATTAGGACTCAGCTTCACCTTTTACTATGCACTTTGCTTTTCCAAGGAGTACTGACACCTGCTCTTCTCGCAAATAAGATTGGCAGTGAAGAGTACCTGGGCTGATTCCACTGGGTTAAAACAAAGGGTCGTGGGACACAGGAGAAAACAAATTCCACACAAATATTTCTCAAGAAAATATTCAGAAACCATTGTTCTTATGAAGATTTTTATGAATGTGACATAATATTAATCATTGTAGGCTAGGTTAGAATGGACCTTTTCCAGAGGCAGGAGAATTAGAATACACGGTATTTCAAAGCCCAAGCCAGTGACGTTATTGATCACTTTCCTAATATCTGTCTCTTTCCAATACATTATCACTTATATAATAACGGCACAGTGATTTTAAGAAATAATTACACATCTCAGAAGTAGTTCCTGTAATTATACTTTTAAAAACATGATGTCCTTTTTATCCTAGAATGTTATAGAGATGAAAATGTCTAATTAAATAACTACTGCTTGGTTTGGGAATTCATTTTTCAGGTGGATAGACAATATGTAAATAGTTAATCATTTTCAAATCAATAGTCTTATCAAGCATGACTTACATTTGACTACCTCTAAGCTCCTGTGTTTTAAATTATCAGAAAAAAAAAAAACACCTACACTCAACTAATGAAGATTGCTCTGAGAGAAAAGTCCAGTAACCAGGCAACAGTGATGACATCAAGATCCTGTCTCTCTTACCAGATGGATACAGTCACAGTATCTCTCGCTGCACATTACTAAGGTGACAGTTCATCTGTATAACTGCTTTACTTCAACCAAAATACACCATGCTATATATAAAAGATCCTTTTTATCAAGAAAATGTGACTCTGTTTTGAGCAAGAAACTGTGAAAGACAAATTTAAATCATCCATTAGGAATTCATTCATATTTTCCCATGGCTTTTTGCCTTCTACTATTTGAAACCACTACAGAGAATCTTCTTAATAATCCAGATCATGGGAAATTGTGATACTGGACCAGTTTTCCAGATTTTCAGTTATACAGTGTGCTTATGCCTGTTCTTGTACTGTTCATACATTTACAGGCATATACGCTAAAGAAACCTTTAGCATAGCTAAAATTTAATATGATAGTAATAATAGAGCAGAACCTATACATAGAAAGTTGCAAAGAGTTAAAAGGACATCTTCTCATTATCTACAGTTATATTTTGCTAGCAGATAGGCAGGCAGCAAAATGTAACTGATAATATTCAATATCCAGAGAATAGGTTTGTAAATAAAGTCCTTAAGGTAAAGTCACCAGGAAGACTCATTGCTGTGTAGCTCAATGAAGCTTCTTATGCTTTATCTCTGGGAAGGTATTATGCAGTAAGAGCTATAAAGCTTCTCTGGCGCACAAGCCACATACATACACAGGTATATTTAAACTGGAAGAAAGCCGTGTGAACAGCAAATTG